AGATCATAGAAATAACATGGAAATCCCACAGGAATCTCACAGAAATCCCATAGACAGATCATAGAAATAACTGAAATAACATGGAAATCCCATAGGAATCTCACAGAAAGATCATAGAAATAACATGGAAATCCCATAGGAATCTCACAGAAATCCCATAGAAAGATCATAGAAATAACATGGAAATCCCATAGGAATCTCACAGAAATGCCATAGAAAGATCATATCAACATCATGGAAATACCTTGGAAAACCCACAGGAATCCAATAGAAATTCCATAGGAAAGATCATAGAAATACCATAAAAATCACATAGGAATCCAATGGAAATTCCATAAGAATACCATAGAACTCCCATAGCACCCCTTCAGAAATCCCATAGAAATCCTCCAGAAATATCATAGAAACATCATGGAGACCTCATAGGAATTCCATAGAAATCCAATAGTAATACCATAGAAATACCATAAAAGAAAAAAACTTTAGCAAAGGAAAAGGAAAAGGAAATGGTTGAAAAAAAACATAACCTCAGGAAGCAGCTGGACACAATAGTGTACCCTCCAAACAAACCACACTATTGTGTATCAGGGTTGCTCATGGACTACACCCTTGAAAAATTGTTTGAGTGATGTTTTTTAATTGAGTTTTAATAAGGCATCATATATTTTGGGAAACTGGGCATTTCTGAGAATTTCAAATGAAAGAAGCTAAGAAAGTAATTAAGCAATTAAAAGAAAAAACTTTAGCAAAGGAAAAGGTAAAGGAAATGATTGAAAAAATCAAAAAATCATGGCCTCAGGAAAGCAGCTGGACACAATAGTGTACCCTCCAAACAAACCAGACTATTCTGTATCAGGGTTGCTCATGGACTACCCCCTTGAAAAATTGTTTGAGTGATGTTTTTTTAATTGGGTTTTAATAAGGCATCATATATTTTGGGAAACTGGTCATTTCTGAGAATTTCAAATGAAAGAAACTAAGAAAGAAATTGATTGAAAGGAAAACACTTTAGCTAGCAAAGGAAAAGGTAAAGGAAATGATTGAAAAACATCAAAAAATCATGACCTCAGGAAAGCAGCTGGACACAATAGTGTACCCTCCAAACAAACCACACTATTCTGTATCAGGGTTGCTCATGGACTACCTCCTTGAAAAATTGTTTGGGTGATGTGTTTTAATTGGGTTTTAATAAGGCATCATATATTTTGGGAAACTGGTCATTTCTGAGAATTTCAAATGAAAGAAACTAAGAAAGGAATTAATTAAAAGGAAAACACTTTAGCTAGCAAAGGAAAAGGTAAAGGAAATGATTGAAAAAAACAAAAAAATCATGACCTCAGGAAAGCAGCTGGACACAATAGTGTACCCTCCAAACAAACCACACTATTCTGTATCAGGGTTGCTCATGGACTACCCCCTTGAAAAATTGTTTGAGTGATGTTTTTTAATTGGGTTTTAATAAGGCATCATATATTTTGGGAAACTGGTCATTTCTGAGAATTTCAAATGAAAGAAACTAAGAAAGAAATTAATTGAAAGGAAAACACTTTAGCTAGCAAAGGAAAAGGTAAAGGAAATGATTGAAAAAATCAAAAAATCATGACCTCAGGAAAGCAGCTGGACACAATAGTGTACCCTCCAAACAAACCACACTATTTTGTACCTGGATGTAATTTTCTGTGGAAGGCATCTGGAAAATTTCAATGATGGAAAATAAAAAGTAAAAGGAAAAAGCTTTAAAAAAATGAAAAAAATGAAATGTTTGAACAACAAAAAAAGACCAAGACACAATTGTGTATCCTGACACAATGACACAATTGTGTATCCTGACACAATTTTACAAAATAATAAAAACAATATAATTAAAAATAAAAATAATTAAATTAAACATTTTTATAATTAAAAATAAAAAATAATTTAAAATAAAATAAAATAATTAAATTAAAAATTGTTATAATTAGTTAATTAAAAATGAAAATAAAAATAAAAAACAATTTAAAATAAAATAAAAAATAATTAAATTAAAAATTATTATAATTAAAAATAAAAATAAAAAATATTTTAAAATTTTAAAATAAAATAAAAAACAATTAAAAACTAAAAAGCAAAAAATGGAAAAAAACTTACACCAAAATCCTGTGGACACAATAGTGTACCCCTCGATCATTTCCAGAGTTACAGAATAATTTTGAGGTCTGTGGACACAATAGTGTATCCCCACACTAATCAGTATCCAACATTAATTGCATATAATGATGGGATATACAGGGTACACTCCGTGAATCCACCATATCGAACATCATCGAAAATCGTGGAAAATCCATCCTTGGTACAAATGATGTTCATCGCAAATTGAGGACTTCCTCCCACCGTGTCTGACACGATCAAGGTGACATCGATCGACATCGCCACTGGCGCAGCAGCGGCGGGGAAAAAGGATGAAAAAGGTCCGCGGCAGCTGAGGTGCTTGAAATTTAAATCCATGGCATTTTTTTTACCATTTCAGACAATGTAAGTAGCTAGGCTATATTTTATGTTGTTCTATGATGTTCTATGCAAATTCATGTTATCTTCATTGCATCGTATGAATAGGACCCTTAGTCTTGAAACTTGAGGGATTGTCAAGACTAGGGGGGAGTAAACCCTCGCTACCGCTGCCCTAGTGATTTGGCCCCGTGGGGTATCGCATGATACTCCGCCGGGTCAAATTGCGAGGGTGGTAGCGAGGGTTTACGTCTTAGCGGCCGAGCAGGGAAGGGATCCCTGGAGCGGCGGGCCACACGCTCCGGGGATCCCCACAAGACAAGAGACACCCCTTTGCCCGCTGGGTTCTGGGCCCCCCTAGGAGGAAAAGAAAGAAAAGATGATAACCTCTGCCAAAATTTTTTTCTTCTTGCGCCCGGTCGGCAGGAAGCATCGAGCGAGCCTTAGGGAAGGATGCTCGGAGCAGGTGGCCCTGCTCTAGGCGTCTTTCTTCTAGGTTCCTTGATGTGGAACGCCGACCTTTCTTGGGGGCCCGGTGTAGGGAGGGCGCACCCCATTCCTTCCTTTCGCCTCCACTTCTGTTCAGCTCCTCTTTCCTCCAATCTCGAAACTATGCCCGTTTTTTTGCCATGATGTTTTGGGTTGACATGAAAGGGTTGAGCCCCAGAAGACCACTTCGATAACCAGGCTTTGCAATTTTTGGGTTTCCCTGCTTTGGGATGATATATATATTTGTTGCATGTTGTTGCAGTTTACGACACATAATTTGGGGCCATGACATATTGCTGGACAAATGCTTGTATGCAGTATACAAAATACCCCCAAGCAGATGACCGAGAAATTTTACCGCGGGCGTTCACAGTTCGGGGCACAAATCGCCTATATCATCTTTTTTTTAAGCACTGCGATGTGGGATACTCTCTGTATATACCGAATGAATGCAATGCAATGCCTTTGTCCAGCAATATCCACATGAATCACCTGGGTCCAGCCTTCCCGGTCCTCGCTCGCTTCCTGCCACGGCCAAGCCGTGGCCGTGCGTCGAATCCGACGCGCCAGCCGCGTCGATATGGAGGATGTGACGGCAGCTCTGCATGCATTATTAGCTGCAATTAATCTGCATTGGTCTGCATTGGTCTGCATCATTGATACATTTATTATTCTCGATGCCACTATTCGATCTGCCGCTATATTCGATATTTGCGCGCTATCTTCCGATATTCGGCGTTCTTCTCCGCGCCGCTGGGGCTTGCAAGAGTCGGCACTAGTCTGCACCAGTCAATTTGTTTTTCTTTGGTGGTACAGACCCCTTTTTTGAAGCCACTGGAGAGAAGGCCGCAGTGGGAATAAGAAATAACCAAAGTTCCACCTATATAGAGACAAAGGGGATGGGGGGTGTTAGAGAGAGCCCCTGTTGTTCTCCTCATCAGCTTTATAACAGTATAACATTTGCGGTCCTGGACACTTTCGGCCTGCCGGCTCAGGTATCGGAATATCGCGCGTCTCTGGTCTGCATTCATCCCCGCGCGTCAGGCGCCGCGCTCGGACACCTTGTGATGTCTGTTGTATATGCTGCAAAGAACCTTCCTTCAGTACGAACGCTCAATGCACCGGTGTAAAGTCACTATCCATTTATAGGCTTAATTCTGCCTGTTTTGTGACGCCGGGCCAGGCCCGTCGCCTTCGACGCCACTGCCTCGTTCCCCACGCGTGATCTTTGCCTCGCGTCCAAGCCTCAAAGCTTCCATGTGTCGACTGCAGTGCATCAGCCATGTTGATACCGTCGCATGTTGAACCTTTGCATAGATGTGTGACCTGCCCGCAGCAATTTCCAAGCTTTAAAGCTTTCTGCCTTTCAGCGACTTTCAAGTGCCCTTGCTCCTTTGTCCGCGCCTCAGATCAAAGCTTCCGCTTTTGTGCTCCGCTTATGTATTCTTTTCCTGTATATCTATCGCCGGTCACCCAGGCAATGGCTTGCATTGGCGACGTGACCTTGTTCAAGGGCAGCTGGGCCGACGTTGCGTTGGAGGAGGCGCGTTTCGAATGGTGCACCGGCGTGTGCACCTGAATCGTCGTGTGCCTTGCTGCATGCCAGGTTCCAGTGCCGTTGGAGGCACGGCTGCTTGCTTTCGGGCTTGGAAAGTAGGGCGGCTGCCACATCCCGTCCTGACAGGACTACGTCCTCCAAAATGAGGCACTGCTGGACGAGCTCCAGGAGGCGGTGGAGGCCCCGCGGTTTTGGATGGTTTTGGGATAACATCCCGTCGCGTTAATCCGATTAGTTTGCTTGCCACCTGTCAGGTCCCTTTCGAGGCGACGCGCACCTCCTTCACCTTGGGCGGCTCGGCCACGAAGAAGGCAGGGTCGCTGATAGCGTCTTATCTTCAGAACAATTTAAACTGTCCTGGTCTTGGCCGTGCAGGCACCGCGCCGTCGCGGTGGTACCTTCGTGGCAATGGAGCCGGAGAAGAATAAGCGCGCCAGCGCTGCAGCCTCAGTCCGTCTGTGCCATCTGTTTATACATCATGCAGCACCCCGACACGCCGGTGCCAAGGGACTCTCGCGTGCAGAGAAGCGCTGGCGCAACAAGGTCAACAAGGAGCGCGCCAAGGCGGGGCTTGGGAATATTTAATTTGGGACTTGGCCCCGCGCTCGTGTCGCTGGAGTGTGTCAGGCGGCAAAGCACCGCCGCGCGGCACCTTGAAAAACCTGCGATAGCCAGGCATCATGCTTCACCTCCAGGATTCTGCAGATTCCCCATACCCAAAAGGACACGGCTGGCCCAGGTGCTTGCAGCCTTCGAAGGATGTCTTCGTGACCATGCGGCTTTGCTGGAGAGAAGGCGCGGGGGTGGGATGATATTTCTTGTGATATTAACATACACATATATATATATACATAACATATATATATATATATATGTATTTATTATAATATATATATATATACACGGTGACATACCAGAATCACAGGATAATTGGATGATATTGGTGTATATTTGTGTGGGATGGTATGGATCATTATTGATCCACAACCCAAATACAACGCTTTTGTTCATTCTGCAGATGTTCAACAGGCATAAGTCTGCGAAGGTAGTGAAACTGACACAAAATTGATCCTTCAGAAGGACATCCAGGCGCTCACGTAGAGGTTCCAAGTCGGGTAGACCAGTCAACTTCTCACAGCCAGTAGAAACGGCGCAGTAGAAATATATAGACTTTGGATATCTTTGGATAGTGATCATCCCATTTATGTTACATCATGTAATTTACGGCCACTGTATATGAACATCCACTAATTAGATTTTTTAGCGTCTCGGAATCCAAAGCTCCAAGAAATCCTAGTCCAGTTCGAGAAACCCAGGCTTTGCGAGATGTGCGAGTTGCGTGGGGCGCCCCAAGGAAATGGTCATGGACCAACATTGGGAACATGTGACCTGCATTTTCCGCGGAACCCTTGGTGTCTCCAACTGCATGAATCTACTACCCTGCCAAGAAAACATAAGAGAAATCTTACTGTATCTACTTTGGAGGGTATCCAATAGTATCCAATAGTATCCAATAGTATCCAATAGTATCCAATATTGGCCATGAAAATATTGCCATGGATGGCATTGTAACACTGAAGCATGGTCATGTACCCCTATATCCCAAGCTGACTGAGGTGAGGCCGACCCTTGTCTCGGCTTCAAGGAGACTTCGCCAATCCATGTCTTAGGCAACTGAAGGCTGGAAGCCTCGAGCATTTTCATGATGTTTCCAGTGATAATTTTTGCTGGTGGTATTCTTTGGGTTCCCTTTCTGTGAGGGTGCAAGTTGGATTTTCAGCTATTCCAAATCAAAGTAGCGCTTGTTGCCATCTTTCCAAAGGCCTTTCAGTTTGCGTCATTTTCCCCTTTTTTTTGTGCTTCAGAGCCCGATGACCACCAGGAGATCTCTTCTTGTCCTCAGCTGGTGCTAACAGATTTGGACTTGGTAGACGACTCAGTGCGGGGTAGAAGCGAGGTATATGTGGACAGTATCTGGGTTATATCATTTTATATCATAAGTTGTAACCCCCATTTCTAGAATGTTGGTGGGTAATTGGGTTGTCTCATCATAAGATCGATAGGATCTTACCTCAAAAAGGCCACTACTGCTGGGAACGGCTCCGGTATTGATGGACAATAGGTGGGTGATGTTTCCCCTCACAACTCTGACATGTTGGGTTGAAACACTTAGGTTGAAAGGGGATATGATATGGCTCAGTTTCCATTTACTTTCTCTGCTGCTTAATTTGCCAATCCCAATTTGACGATCGACCACGATCGACCAGCAGTTGTAACATCCCTGTGGCTCGGCATTGCAGGATCTCCCAATCTTTTGAGATCTTTTGAGTATGTTCCTCCTGCCAGTTATGATGGTAGGTCCTCATTGCCCAATCTGCCACCAAGGATGCAGAGGAGTCAGATTGCATAAAGGGACGAGGCGCCTGATGATCTCCAGTTGTGGATACTCGCCTTTTGTTGCGAACATGTTCGTTTTGAGGATGACGTGCCAATGTACCAGGTAATGTACCATTGATATTTGATATACATTTATACCACATTTCTGTATTTGGGAAGGAGTTAAAACATGTTAATTGAACTCTGCTGCCGTTGAACAGCTCACATCCTCAAGCAGAACGGTTTATGCTTTGTCTGCATCCCTCCAGTCCACCCTGGTGGACGCAGAAGTTGTCATTTCTGAACCCACCAATCCTCCATGGCTGTTGATTGATTTGACTTTTCTACACCCAAACTCTCATGTTTCAAAGCCACATATGCCAAGTTTTTTGTGGAACAAAAACTTCAAGGGCCATATTTGGAGGTTCCAAGTCAATTTTGCCCACCCGGCTAATCATCAGTATTGTATAATTTTGTATAGTTATATATGTATATATATATAATGCCACAAATATGTATCCACCCCCAATTCCCATCTATTTTGCCGCAAAGCCACTTGGCAGATGTGGTCTGCCACCACCTAGTCTGACTTGTGACCGCTACCTCGGACTAGTCTCTTCCTATCTTCTGTGCGGCTTCTCTATAGAACCCTACAACATTATCCCGCAAGACTTCATTCCTAGCTCTCTCATGAAATCCGAAGCTCCTGCTTAAAATCAAAAAGCTCTATGTGTCACTAGAGGAACAGCCCCCCATGGACACTAATAACCCAATGGTGCAATGGTGCCGACGGCGGGTTTCAACAGGCGGGGCCCCACTTGTGGAAGAGATCGAAGATGATGAACCATGCTTTGCTGGAGCCTCAACTGGACTTCCACCTGCGGATGCACCCGAGTCCTGCCTGTGTTTGGTTTAACGGTTGATGCCCAACCAAAATTGCTTGGTGGTTTCTAAAATGGGTGGTTTGAAAATGCAATTTGGTCATAATTGGTCTAATTTGCGCAATTCAATCCGAAGCGGTGAAATTCTTTAGTATTGATGGAGGTATCGGAATTCCAGAGGCATTTTGGACATTGCGGTAAAACGGGGGATGACCAGGGCAACCCAAGAATTTCTGCATCAAGACCCATCAGCATTGAAAACATGGACAAAGCAACTCAAGCTCAATGCTTTATGTTTCACAGTAGACACTTTCCAGATATTGTCATAATCCATGAAAATCAATCCACTCCCGTTTTAGGGGCCCTTCTGGGGGAATGATGGGGGATGTTTAATCCCATCAGCCCAATATAAAGCACCTCCATTCTATTTCTCACTACTTTAAACATCTTAAAGTCTTTAAACCAGGGTTTCTGATGTTTCTGTGGGGCGCTTTTTTGTTTTGGGGGGATGGGACCCCGATACCATGGGTTGCCTTCTGCAAAAGGTCAACTATTGGGAGGACAGTGAAGTGCCAGAGGGCCCAGCGGGCAGGCCGCTGGGGACTGATCAGAAACTGTTGGATGGCATGGATTTCTGTTTTTGGATAGACATGTTATAGTAGTTATTTCATGTTAGTTCATGTTAGTTCCATTTACTTCCTGTCTTGATGGTAATTTGATGTTCTTTTGGGGGATTACTAGGGATTACTAGGGCCGTTGTTTTGAGCTCCAGCTGGTTCACCATGGTCCACCTGATATATCCCAAGCCGCCCGAGGTCTCCCAAGGTTGCCAAGGACAGGCGATTGGGTGGTCACAGTATCCTACAGTTTCCAAGTGATCCTAGACTTTGCTCAAGATATGGTACATACTGGTCATGAATCATCGTAAATTTGTGATACATATGTATATATATATAATATATAATATATATACATATATACGATATATATATATACATATACGATATATATATATATATACACGCAAAATGTATACATATGAATTCTGACAGCTAGTCTTGGTATCTAGTTTGAAGCCACCAAAGACATACGTGCGCGCCTCCTGGCTCCAGCTGCACCGTTCCCACCGTTCAAGCTCCAGCCTAGAAGATGCCGCACGTGTTCAACTACGTGGCCTGGCATCAATTTCTCAAAGACATAGCCACTATTTGTGCATCTTTGTGCATCTTTGTGCCATAGTGCCATAGTGGAGGATTAAACCAACCATTTAGGTGTGTCTGAAATTGGGGTATACCATGGTATACAAACATCAATGGATATCAATGTCTGTTTCACGGCTGTTAAAAGTGGGCCGTTGAAAAGTGTTTTGAAGAAAGGAATGACCCCGGACCCCATCAAATGGCCATTTAATGGGGAACATTGGTGATTAAGCATAGGGATTTAAAATGATTTAAAGGTGTCTTATTTTCAGACACATCCATTTTACAGGGATGTAGATGATATAGTGAGATGTCACGCGATCTAAGCAACAATCTAGGACATATAGGTTTGCACAGAAATTATAAACCGCTGGATTATTGGGTAGCTAATTTTTGGATAAACCCTGGGACTGCACCAGGCTTAGATTTTTGAGGATGGTATTCCAAAATTGACATACCATCCAGCAAAAAAAGTGGAGGCCCAATATTTCAACATCATCCACAGATCGACTTTAGAGGTGCCAAACTTTGGGAGGACAGTTCTGACGAATTGGCCGATGGACACTGAGGACGAGGGCAAGTTTGAGCAGGTCCACTACAACAAGGCATGTGATCGGTGATCATTGATGTTATCATATGATATCTACGATCATCCAGGTTCATTTGTACATAGATTATCCGTGATTATCCTCAAAATATACCCATAATTCTCGTATTCCAGAAGATTGACTATGACTATGATTGGATGTGAATTTGGCCTAACAATGGATCTCATTTCCGGTGCAGGTGGCACAGAGGTCCTCCAGACAGATCGGCAAACGACGCTGGGAAAAAATCGAATGGATCAGCTGGTTTCAACGGGAGACATTGGGAGACATAAATAATCATAAATAATCATAAATATCATAAATACCAGGACTGGCATAAATTCCAGATAATACCAGGACTGGATTCTGATATATTTTGTTTGACTGCAACCCAAGCAATCCAATAGTTTAGGAGGATTGGCCACGCATTGGCCACGCCTCCAAGGACAGCGGACTACCGAGACCATGAAGTTCTTGCTGCGGCTTGGTTTGGAATTGCCCTGGCAAAAATTACAGCATCCTCCCTACGTTACCTTGCCAAAGTTGAATGTCATTATGAGAGAGATTATGAGAGAGATTATGAGAGAGATTATGAGAGAGATTATGAGAGAGATGAGAGAGATTATGAGAGAGATTATGAGTCAATATTAATCATCATATACGGGTGTGTTTGGTCATATGCGATTGTCAAACCACATTGATGTTGTTCACCGCAAGGGTATGCAGATCTTCTGCTCCCTTTTTGGGTGCGAGCTGTACTTCAGAATCATAATGCATTCACAAGTGGCAATTCGAGGCAATTGTACGGTTCAAAGTTCCATGCCAATTTTTGGTGTAACATACTTCACAAAGTTTCATGAGCATGAAATTCAAACGTCTTGAATTCTGGCCTGACGAGGCATCGATGACACCACATCACAGTAGTGGCATTGGACATCGAATGGCATTGACAGTTCACCATCAAGCAGTGATAGTTTCTATACCAAGATCCTTGTGATCTCATTTGACTTTCACAGAAGTGGCGTCAATTGGGAGCTTGTTGTTATACAGCAGCCATGGTTCACCAAAACAGTACCAACCACGGTGAGAATTTCAGCCCGGGCCAAGGCAACAGGAAGCAAGTCAGATCAAAAAGGAGGAGGTGCCCGTGGCGGTTGGAGGATATTGGCCAATTGCGACCTCACACTAGTCACTATCCACCACCATCATCCATTGCTATCCTGTATTCATGAAGTGAGCAGACAAAAAATCCCCCAAACCCCAAACTCAGCCTGGGGTCAGTCGCTCGGGCACACGAGTCGCCATGGGTATCACCTCGGTGCTCTGCTGACACGCAAGTTTCGAATGAACCTCCGGAAAGAGAAGATCTCCGGACGCATAACGCGATTTGCGCGTTTCTGATTGATTCTGATTGTATATGACATGTATTGTACATACCATATTGATCCATATTGATCCATATTGATCCATATTGATCCATATTGATCCATATTGATCCGTATTGGTTACTGTTAACGTATTCTGGCAGGCTCGGGCCAACCGCAATGCTGAGGACTGTGGGTGTTTGGGAAGGGGCTGCGACTCTGGAGTTTTGCCAGTTGTGATTGGAGGGGTTTGTATCTCAGCAGTTTGAAGATTTCGCCTCGATTTGTTCGGAAAGAAACTCAATGGTGGTTTGGCACAATGCCTCAAACTAAAGTAGGACCCGGTCTACTTGGAAACCCAAACATCTTGAGATTTCAATTCACGAGCTGAGGAATCGGGTCCATTTCTGTTGTGGGACAGCTCATGTGTTGATCAAGCCGCCTTGCCTTCGGGAAGGTTTTTCGCCTGGCCGCTAATGATGACACATTTAAGGATTTTGTCATCCTGTGTACCACTACTCAATTTTTTACCAGGAAACCGATCTACAACCTCCCTGTTGATACAGATACCTGGGTTTCAAGCTCTCAAAACATCCAAATTCATCTAGAGAATCTAGACTCATCTAGCATTTTTATCATATCTTTATTACACTGGGACATCCCATTGTCCCCCATGGGCTTTGAGGAATCTATCCTCGTCCTCAGAATTTCCCTATCACCCAGGACTAAAAGGCCGTGTCGTTGTCTCCTGCCCAGTGAGTGCTGTGGGGCGGTGCAAAAAGTGAGAGCGGCCCGGGGCATTTGCATTGGATTCACTGCATGGCTTGAGACAAAGATCAAACACTGGGATTTCCCATGGTATTTCTTATATGGTATCTGCATAAGAAAACATGTGCAAATATAGGATATAATATGACACATATATACATATATAATATGATTTAATATATTCAGTCCCACATGACATGTTACAACAGATTCGAATCCACATGAATCCGCAATGCTATTTTGTTTGAATCCTTTTGTGGTGTCCTTAAGCCGCAGGACAAGCAACCAGCCAAACACTTCAATCCGCGACGTGTCTTGTCAATTTTTGAGATGCCATCCCAGCAATGCTACCTAGTTGATAGCGCAGGTCTTCCCATATATAATGTATATACATCTATACTGTTTATACATACAAAATACAATGTATATTATATATAGATGCAATGTATATAGATATAATGTATATAGATATAATGTATGTATGCATATAATGTGTTTGTATATATACTATATATATAATGATATATAATGTATATATCAATCAGGTGTGTATATATGTATAATATAATATATATATATTATAGACACATACATAAACACACACACACACTCGCACCGATATAATTGTACTTATGCACAGGCCATATTGTCTACGAAGTTCCTTTCCCAGCAAGGCTATACCTTGACTCTTCTGCCAGTGATTACCCCAGACCCGAGCAGGGACGCTGCACCAAGGCGCGCCCAAGCGGCCCGCAAGCCAGATTTCCAAGGCCATGTTGCCAGTCGCTAGGATTTTTGTTGGTTTATGGGAGAAGTTGCAAGATGAGCTATGGCACCATTGCTGGAGAAGGTACTTTGAGGGTGTGAGATGTCCCCCTCTTGGTATCTACCGGAGTTACTTGATCAGATCCTATCATGACGAGTTTCTAAAATGATCTACCATGCCTTAGTAGCACAGTAATACATCACATCATATATTAGTACTGGTGATATATCCATATAGTTTATATATACAGAGTATAATATGTATGTATGTATATATAATATATATATATATATATTGAGTAGTGTGTATATGTATGCTGTATAATACACCGCATATTGTAGTATGTACTGTATACACACACACACACCTGTATTTATATTATACTTATCCATAGCCAGATAAACCCAGTCTGCCGCAGGAAAGCCCCACAGAACTGATGTTGCTGACCCTCTTGGAGCATGGCACTGCCAAGGAAACGGGAGTTCAACCATCATGGCACCACCGTTGTGCTACCATCGGGTAGAAAAACGGCCCGCATTCGGTCAGGACATGTCAGTGATCAAGGGCCTGAACGGCGATGATATCAAGAAGGCCTGGACATTCCTGGAATTGATATCTTGGAGAGTATTATTTCTGGCGGTTTGAGAAGTGGTTGTGTCTTTTTGTGTCTTTTTGTGTCTTTTTGTGTCTTTTTGGTTGCATTTTATTGAGGGAAGATCGGGAAGATGAAGATGAACTCAATAAATCCCAGCTACCAAGTGAAGCAGACAGCTCACTGGACAGCTCCGCTGCTTTCATCACATGTTATTGGCACTTGAACTCAGCAATCAGGATACAGTGTCACCAGTGTGACTGGTCCGTTTATGCCCAAGGTCTGTTTTGGTTGGACCATTGTTTTAGGGAGATCAACAGCTATGCCAAAGGATGCCAAAGGCAGTCGATGGGGCTGTGGTCTGTTCTTGGCTCAAGGTGCCCCCTTTTTTTCCCCTTGGCGCAGTGCTGGAAGCGGCTGGAAGGATGGGAATTGACATCATTGCCGGTGGCAGACTGAAAAAGAAGCAGAGAGAAGCGAAAACGGATGCTGTGCACAGTTTTTCTTTTCAGCGGGATGCCTTAAATGATCCAAATGGTGCCAATGAATTGATTGCATGGGTTGGTTGGGCATTCAATCCCCCCTGGGGATGACTTGTTCCGTTTGACTTGGAGCTGATGATGCAATTGGCACCGCCGAAGAATCTCGAAAAATCGATCCCAAACAATCCCAAACACCTCTTGTTAACAATATGTTACAGTAACATTAAAGCAGGGATAGGGTCTCCTCGCGCCCCAGGAAGATCCCTATGTCCAGCTCCTGTGTCGACTCTACAAATTCTTGGCCCGTCGGTCGGATTCGAAGTTCAACAAGGTGGTTTGCAAGAGGCGATCCCGGCGATCCCGGTGATCCCGAGATATATCAAGATGGGTATTGTATGGTATTGTGAGATACGGGAAGTGCAGCAAGAGAACTAATGTATGAACTAATATATGAACTAATCCATGCTTATGATCTTTGGGATTAGGCATTTATAACCTCCAAGATGGCCCAAATACATCCAAATGCATCCAAATGCATTGTATGTCGCTGGGATGACCTCTCGCAAGGCTAAACATGTCCGCTCGCAACCGACCCCCTTTGTCGCTGTCGAAGATTTCGAAGAACATGGTCAACAAGGCTCGGCCGAGGTGGCTGATCTGAGCCATGTCATGGGAACAAGCTGCTGCCTGTGCGTTGACAACATGCTTTTTTCCAAGAGCTGTGATGTGAAACCATGTGAAATCAATCATCAATGTGAATATTGTGAATTCTGACAAAGATGTTTCACAATGTTTCATTCTTCCATAGAAACATCATCTTCAAATGGTGGAGTGTCTAGTCGGCATCTGGTCGGCATCTGGTCGGCATCTGGTCGGCATCTAGTTGGATCTTGGCACAATTTGGCACAGCTGTGAAACTCGGCACAGTGAGGAGGGCAAAATCGCCGTGGTCGTCGGCAAAGTCACCGATGACAAGCGGCTTTTGGAAGTTCCTCAGGACGGGAGCGATGGGATCGGTTGGCCACACCCATCACGATATTTGAAAAACGGGCCTTGTTTGAACAACTTGATCTATTCACTTCGTCATTGAACGTGCCATCTTACCCACACTTAAACTTACCTCAACTGTCAAGCATTGCCAAGCTGTGCCCAGAAATCTGTTCCATGCCTAGTCTCATGAAATCTCCCGAAATTGCGCCACCAGGTGTCTGTGTGCGCTCTGCAGTTCACTGAAACCGCGCGGGCGCGCATCCTCAAGGCACCAATGGAACTCTGACCATTCTGACCTGCAATGACCCGATCCCAATGGCCCCAATGGCGCAATCCTGCATTGACCCATGAAATATCCATGATGTGTGGTCACATAGACATGACATACACTATCTGTATCCAGATTATCCAGATCCCAGGCTGGTGGTGAGTGCATCACCTTTGACCAGCTGGCCTTGCGCTCGCCCCTGGGCAAGGTGCCGATGTTGACGGTCGCAACGGCATAGGTCAATGGGATATATATCGTATACCCTCAATGGTTTGATAGGACACATAACGATTAACCAGTGGATTAACCAGTGGATTAACCAGTGGATTAACCAGTGGAATTTCATGGGTTTCAGACCCAAATACCGTGAAGATTTGGGCCAAATTAAAAGATCGTGTTGTCGGGCCACAGAATTCGATCGATGCCCAATCAATTTGTGTTGCCTTTTAGTGAAAGTTCTTAGGACATCTTTTGGGAAGGCCACAAGCCCATTCACCCAGTGTTTATATATATATAATTATATATATATAATGTTATATAATTATATTAATTATATATTATGTATTTGTATATGTATCACTGTATAGTGTGCGTTTACAATTCTTTATTTTTTCTGTATCCATTCAATCCCTTGCCTCAGAATTTCCAGTTAGCTAGTTACGGTGTGTTTTTGCGGCATCCCAAGGGACCATTTTTGCACATGGGCACCCTCCCAGAGTTATATCCGGCATGATATCCCTCTCCTACTCTCCCTCTCCTGAGTCTTTTGATACTATGATACTATACATATAATGTATATGTATATATTATGTATATATATATATGTAAATAGCCTAATGTATAATTGCATAGTATAAATATACTGTACAACATACCATTATAGATATTATAGCCTTACAGCATATCACATGAACTATCACTATCCTTACCTTTTGCCTCGTCCCGGCCAGGGCACCGTGCTGCTCCGGGGTCCGAAAGCCCGAGAGGCCGAGCGACATTTCGGGAAAGCTCCTGGAGTGCCCAACAGCGGCCTGGCTGCAGTGGGGGCATGCCTTGGGCACCAGAACAGCTAATGGCTGCAGTAAGAGAACAGAAATATGGTGAAAAGCATTGAAAAGCCAGGATTTATATACGAAAAATAAGGATTTGAATTTATCAATCATTTGCCCGCAGGAAAACCATGGATTTTCCATATCTATGTTACTTGCTCGTTTGGTGATAATTATTTGATGGAGGGTATTGTTTCAAGGCTTAGCAGTTCCACATTATTGGGGTCATGTAAACTCCTGCTAGGAAGTGTTTTCTCTTGGCATCGAAGGTTAGCCATGTAATGTATACCCCCGAAAAGAATCGATGTCTATATCTTTTGAGGATCCCTGTGCAACAACATGGGACTACGAATCATGGATCCACAGCCGTGTTGCTAACAAGGTGGGGATATCAAACGAACAAACACCTGTTCAATTCATTCGTGAGGCTATTTATAATCAATGATCGTGGATGACAACAATTCGGGCAAAGTATAGCAGCCTCAACCGCTGAACATTGGATCTAGCTCCTCTATTTGACCCTTCTCAATGGTGATCTTGAAAAAAATAGGGATGTGCAGTACCCATGGGAAGACAAAATAGACATGGACAGACATGGCAGACAGTTCTGGAATCATTATGCCATTTTGGTACTCCATTCTCAACCCATACTCACATAGAACTAGTTTGTTGGTCACGTTCTGCATTGGCTGTTGAAATTTGCTCGTGAAGCCAGGCACAACTGCTACCCAGTTGCACTGAGATTGGTGGTGGTGTTGGAGTAGTTTTCCCTAGATTTCATGACATTCTGTGACTGAACCTGGATTTATGTCAGAGCCCTGAACACAGAGATCTGCGACATTTGTTTCCTGTTCAAGTGTCCTGTTCATTTGGGTATCAGAAAATGTTTTGTTTGGGTTAAGCATGGTTGAGCCATACTCAGCCGGCATTGAGTATAGCTACTGACCATTGAAAGCTTGGATGAAAATTCTTAGCAAAGCATGGTAACATCATCTCTATCACAATGTAATGTAAATACCCAGACCAGACAATTAAAGGAGTCCTCAATTGTGACTTTGTCTGATAGACATTTTCTTGTTGTCCTTGCAATATCTTCCCCCATGGGTGTAGGTGAGTATCTCCATAATATATATATACACATTCTTTTTTTGGGATGTTCATCATGGTACCAGGAGCCATATTTGCATGTTGCTGTCTTATCTGTCTTGCGAGGCACCTTATGTGCGCTCGAAGGGTCGCAAATTTGAGAAGGCACGTGGACGAAGAAGATCGCGTGGATTCAAGGCCATGCGGAGGGCAAACCTGACAGGGTTCCACAGTTGTTTTTTTTTTTTTCCGAGAAAAAACATGTCCAGCATACCGAATCTTTACCTTGGGATGCCCATCTCCCTCCATTCTCGTGCCCTTTTGAGGCTCATTTTTCACAGTCTCCTGGTTCCCCTGTACATCCCTGTATTTTTTTCCAGAATCATCATCTATTCATCACTTTTTGCTACTGCTCTTTGCCAGTCATCCGCCCAGCGCTAGGTGTAAGTGCACCATGGCTTGACTGGAATGCGCTGGGGGAAAATGGTGACGCTGTGCGATTTCTGCTCTCCAAGCCAAGTCTGAAGTTGTTCGGTATGCCCGGCATGATCGCAGAGTCAGCCAATGGGAAGATACTCAGCCAGAATGCTGAGGGCGAAGAGTTGGCTGATGTACTTTGAACATGTTTCAACTTTGAAAATGGCTTCTTGAAGATGTGCCATTTTTCAACACACGCATTTTTGAATCATTTCTGGAGAGAACCCCCTTGGATCCCTTGGGTTCCCGGTGCAGGTGTTGGCACATCGCCGATCCGGTGCCCAGCACCGATCCCTGGAGATGTTGCCCGCGATCCTGGGGCCTGGAGCCCCGGGAGTGGAGGGAATTTTCCATGACCAGATCTGCTTGGTGGTTTGGAACCATGGAATTTTAATGAATTTTGAATGACTTTCCCATCATATTGGGAATGGAAAATCATCCCAACTGACGAACTCATATTTTTCAGAGGGGTTGAACACCGCCTTGTGCGGCACTACTGGTATGATATGATATAATATAAGTTAACAGAACATAAAATTGTAAAATATAATGTCATATCATTTCATTTAAACTAATTTATATATAGTAATATTATTGGTCAAAAACGGAGTATCTTAGATGACTTGAACATATTCTTGCAGCATACCCCATGTCCCTTCAACACCCTAAATGAAAGGATTCCGTTCATAGACCGTCTTCAAATGGTAAGGGGTATGCGTATGTTCGGTGGGTCTGTTGGTTTTTTTCTTAGGAGTAGCAAATGGTGGCAATGAACCTATTTCGTCATTGTTGGTATATTGATATATAGTATATAATCCTTTTGTTGTGTAAATCATGTTGAACCATTCCCATTCATCTCAGCCACCTGCATCATGTGAGTCTAAGGCGCAAAATCTCGATCCCCAAACTGATCTCTGCCAATGCTTCCTGATGGGCAGGCAGATTGTTTTCCATTTTGTTATGCGATCTCACCCCATGTTTTGGGAAAACATGGATTCGCATCAATTTTCACTAACCTTCATGGTGTTGAACATATAGGGCCAGCTGTTGATCTTCAAGTATCTGTCCATCAGAGCGGCCCCCTTGCGGCGCTTTTCAGAAAGTAGGTCGAGTTTGGCAGGTTTCATGTTCCCTATGCTCTCAACATCTCAACAAATTCACTTGAAAGTTCGTTGACTTTCTGAAACATTTGCTGACCAATTGTGAGATGAGAGACACAAGTGGGGTCACACTGGTGACACCACCAAATTGCACATCAAAGTGTTGTTGTCGGGTTGGGGGACATGCTGACTATACCTCTGCACCGGCGGCTGTTGCGTGTTGACCGTTCTGATGATGGCGAATTCGGAAAGACGTTCAAGGCCAGTGATGACTGGCCACGGAGTGGGAGGAAGTAGTAAAACAGCCTCCATTCGTGACATCTTTGCAGCGTTTGCAGTCTGCAACGAATTCAACAGATCCGGATTTGCTGCGCCCTAGAGCTGCCACAGGTGCCGTGGAGCCCCGAAATTTCATGGTCCAAATGTAGGGTCACCACACCAGACAAGTAGACAGGTCCAAGTTGTTCGGGGGGTACTGGCTGCATCCTGGCGATTCCCTATGTCTGGTAACCTCACAACCCCAGCATGCTGTTTGCAAATTGTTTGCTACCTGCCACTACACATCATTCCCAATCATTCTTGGCAATATCCTGCCATCGGCTCATGATTTATGGCTAAATCTCGGTTGGGTAGGTCAGTAGCTTAATTCTTAGCTATAAATCAGGCATATTATGTATATATTATATAAATATATCATCCAGCTAAAGACATATAAACATCAGCAGCTTCTTTGATCTTTTGGGTGTGGGATGTCCAAAGTAGATTTGTGGCAGGCTTCCAGGGGTGGCAGACGGTGGTATGGTATTTTTTGGGAAAAAATGCCGATCAGAGCTGCACCCGATGAGTTTTACTGTGATTTGATCCCAGTGGCTTTGGCTTATCAAATTGATCAAACTATACGCCATAAAAGGGCTGGATCTCCCGGGCAAGATGATATGGTTGGATTTCCAAAGATTTTCAGTGAGAATATGTGAGAATGTGAATCGCAGGGAACTGTTGTCACTTGTTGTCACCTGGACATTGGAACCTCAGCGAGGATTATCTCCGACACCACCTTGAGCCACCCGAGACCTTGAGAGAGGTAGGCATGTGGTGCCGGATTTTTATGGCACCTGGTTACCATTATTGGTTTACTGACAGTTATATTCCTGAATGTGCCCGTTGTTCTCCAGTGACTTTTAATCCCGGCAGTGCAGAATCCGCTCGGCTCAGATATCGTGACCACTAGCAGCCTGGAAGATCTTGACAAACAGGTTCCCATGACTTTACCATGGTACTAGTATCTAACAAACTCTACCAGTCATGCCAATCGTTTTTAAACGTGTATCATAGCAGTTATTGTCAGTAGCCGGGACTGAACATCCCAGGACATGACTATGCAAGGGTCCATATCTGGTCCTCAACAGGTAAAAGGGTTCAACATTCCAGACTCTCCAGCCATCTTCATCTGGATGTTCCTGCACTTTCGAAGAAATAATTTGTAACTTAACTGGCTTAAAACCTTTCTTGTCTACCAGTTCGAAGGGGTTATAACGGTTATAATATAATATATATATATATATATACCTGGAGAACCAAAACCCTAAGAATTCTTCGGGTCAACGCAAGAACCTGAGGTATTTCGGAAAAAATAAGAAAGCCTCGGTTTTCGATTGAAGACCTCGGGTATTGATTTTGAACCCGTACTTAACCCGTACCTAACCCGTACTTAACCTGTACTAACCCGTACCTAACCGGTACCTAACCCGTACTTTCAGAATGGGTTAAAATACCCCGGGTTTTGTCAGAAAAGCTCAGGTATTTCTCAAACCCTAAGATTTCTGCGGGTTTTGGTTCTCAAGGTATATATATATATTGTTTATTCATATCCCCCAAGTTCCAGGATCATTTGTCTCCATTTCCAGTGGTTTCCAGCTCCCATGGCATGGAATCCCGGCTGCGTCAGCCCGGTTGGGCCCGGCCCCTGGCGCAGCAGCGCCACGCCTCGCGCGAGGGCCGCGACGGCAGCGACGGCCGCGTGGCGTCGCTGCCACCGCTGCGGGACCGCAGCCGCCCGGGGTCGCAGGAGCCCCTGGCGCCCGCGCCGCGCAGCAGAAGTCGAGCGGCCGATGGCAGTCCATGGCAGGCCATTGGGGCGACCCAGAATGTGGTGAAATTATGTGAAATTGGGAGAATGTCAAAAGTTGATAAAGGACTGGAGGTTTGAGTATGTTGGGGACGTTTGGGCACAGCTTCCTGAAGATTGTCTTCAAACGATTTCAAAGGGTCAAACCAATTTCAGTGTGGTACAAAGTGGGTACAAAGTACCAGCGGGCTACTTGTACGAAAAACATGATTATTTCTTGAACATGTGGGTGCCCCAGCTTCAAGAACTCTAGAGGAAAAAAATGATTATGTGACATGGGGCATGCGTATCGTAAAAGTGACATGAAACTACGACATTAAATCCATGGTTAGCTGTAGTTTGTCATCAATATGTTCCAATGATTTGTGCTAGTATCCCCCTGTGTTGTCCGATTGCTGGTGAAATCTCGATGTTGTTGTTTTTTTTTTTCAAATCCACATACTCAAATGTTTATTGTTCGCATCCATTATTTTCTGGTGTTTCTGTGAGAAATTAGACCCCAACAATGTGTTTGTTTACTCTATATAGTCATATAATGTATATATGTATATAATTATTCAATTAGATTATATATATATATATCCTTTGTTCGGATATTTTTATAGTCTGCCAGGGCCCCTTGGGCCTTTTGTGCAGGAGAAAGCTGGCTCCGGGTCCAGGACCACATCCGCAACACGAGCCGCGGAACGGTGGCCCGCCAACCATCCCTTTCAGGAGGAGGTGGCTGTTGCTCCCACTGCATTCTGCCGGCAAAGATTGGATCCCCAAACACCAAAATACATTTCCTTTTTCCCACAAAAATTGGGTCCAGCAGCAGATCTGACCCCAGCCGATTCTGGGAGGTGAGTCCCCCCAAGCCGGGCCGGCCGCCGCGCGCCTCACCCGCGCCGCGGGAGCGGCGCGACGAGCGGCGGGAAGAACGGCGGGAGGAGGCCGAGGGGCGAAGATCTGCAGGTTCTGCAGGTGCCCGGGACATGGCAATGGGAAATGGCACTTTGCGAAAACCATGGAAAACCCTGTAAGTGGCTATAGGCTATAAGTATCTATAAGTATCTATAAGTGATTATTCAAATGGGGTTGTATTTCTCAAAATTGTGGCACCCCATTCCACAATAATTCCACCATCTGGTAGGTGCCATGGAGCCAATGGCTCCAAGCGGCCCGAGCGATGAGCGCCGGCATCGAGTGGGCAGCAAGCGCAACTTGGCATGGGATTTAACAGAAAACCCATGGGAAAGAATGGGAACTCTGATGTAATCCGCTTGTTTTCAGGGAAATTGGCAGGAACCTTTCAATCTACGCAATTAATGGTAAAAAAGATACAGTAGTTTCCTGCAAAAAAACAACATTAACTCATGTAATTGTGGAACAAGGATGTATCAGGGTGTTTTCTGTTGTGAGACCCAATTGGAATATTTGACAAAGACCTCTCCAGAGGTAAGCCAGAAAACATCAGTGGTTTGATACCCCACTGAGCTGGATGACCCCCTGGCATGTGACGGAATACCCAACATTTGAGAATGATTCCTACATTGGAAATACATGTTTTTTTTTCCTCTTCTGACATTCTTGGTTCACAACGATTGCCTATTTTCTACACGCACAGGAACTGCATCACGCTTTCAAGTGTGAAGATCCATTAACTATTCACAACACAGATGCTCAATGTGTCAATGAAGCAATGACCATCATCCTTCCATCATCCTTCCATCATTCTTTCATGCCGATGAAATCTCCATCAGTTGCAGGCTGTGCCTCGCCCCCGGCCATGCGAGCTGCGTCGCCGCCCATCCGCGCCTCAGGGCGATACAAGGCCACAAGCACTGCTGGTTATCCCCTGATTATGGGATTGATGAGGATAATGACAATAATGTCCTTTTGGTAAAAATAGAGGGGCCGGTTTGGTATAGCATCTATATCCATCTATCATCATTTACCTGTTGTTAAAGGGGAAAACAAGCCCCTCTATTAATCAAGCAACCAATGGGAAAAGGACATCTATGGATAATGATGGTTAAGACTTGTTGATAAATTAATGTTAAATATGGTTAATTAATGTTAATTATGTTTAATTCATGTTAATTATAGCTGCCCATAAGTGGGTAGGCTTATCCTTGAGAGGTACTTCGTACTTTACCAACGCACATAGGGACCGGGGGTCCGAGATCACTCATGTCGGTCTACAATGTGGATATGGTCACAATTAAAGGCACAGCATTCACACCTGGAAGTCTATAATTATATAATCATTTCTAGGACTGACAATCTCAAGTTTTCTTTTCATGCATACCTCTAGGATCCGGTAAAATGCATGCTGCGTCCTTCCAGGATTCTAGGTGAGAATCTGCCCCTCAACCGCAGCCCCAGTTCTGGCAGGTTCCAGAGAAGCAGGTTGAAAACTTTGAGGCTGGGTGATGTTGTGGAAACGAAACAGGCCAGGCTAGGCCAGGGTCCAAAAATCCAGGGCTGTGCGGGATGATTGTTGGCTTTTAATGACATCATATTATCATGTGCTGTAATTGATCCTTATTGATGTGGACACGGACTAACTTGAGGGGATCTGCACAAAAGGGACAGTCCAATGATTGTAATTCTGCCGACTTGCCGAATTCTTTGCGTGCACTACAACGACACCACACAAAGAGGCTTGACAGGTATATTTCAGATTGCATTTCTCAAAACTCGGGTACCCCAAACATCCCCAAACCACTACTCTACCTGTAGCTGTCACTAGCTTCCCCCCATAGGAGACTCCAATTTTTGTGGTTTCTTCGCCATTCCTCAGTGAAGGTGGCCCCGCCCAAAGCTCGGGAGACTCGCGCGACTCGGCAGACCGCGTCCAGCCGCAGACGGGAGGCGAGGATTTTGAGGATTCCAAACGGTTTTGGGTCGACAGGTGTGACAGGTGTGACAGGTGCGTGTTTTTTTGGATGTTTGTGATTCAAGTTCCTACTGGATAGACCACGATAGACCTGGGATTTACCAGACTAACCAGAGGATTTTGAACATGGAAATGTAAATGTCACTTTTGGGGGGTTCCAGGTAAGAAGTTCTGGGGGAGTGTTGCTAGCACCCTCTTCTAGGTAATGGAAGGCAGTTCCAAGTCTCAGGCTGAATTGACACAGGAATGCTTCATTTCCTTCTTAATTATTGTGTAGATTTAGGGTGGAGGGGTTTAGGTTTACCAGCTCGAATGTTCATAGTTTGCTTAGACTAGCATTGCAACTTTGATGCCCAGATTGCAGTTTGTTATTTATGGCAGCTATGGCGAGCGGAATGTTGTTGGTCATCTCCTGGCGTTTGCTCAGAGGTGGCCCGTGAAGTCTCCCCCCCAATCCAAGCATCTGGTGGCTACAGCATGCACTCTGAGGCTGGGTTGGGAAGAAAACTCCCGGTAGTCCATAGACTTTTGATTTTAGTTCAGATGATGAAAGGGCAAGTTCAAAAGTTCAGGCGTGTTGGCAGGACTTGGTTCCAGGTAGGTCATATTATATACCCTCTGGTGAACTAACATAGCAATGGAAAATCACCATTCTTAATGGGAAAATCCACTATAAATAGCCATTTTCCATTGCTATGTTAGTTCACCAGAGGGTAATGTCCTAAATGGAGCAATAGGTTGTCCTATCAAGATTCAAGCCGTCGTTCACATCTTGCATTGCATTTCTTCGTCCGGATCTTCAACTTTGACCTTTTCACCAGCTTTGACAATGGTCAGATGGAGTGGATTTCCCAAGTTTGTCCTGTCTTTCTTGCATTTTCCCTCTCTGGGTGAACATTCTCAAGTGGATCGTGAATGGATTGTCCACTAGCTTCTCAGATTCTGGGTGATGAGGTCGGGCGAGCAGCCTCCCCTCCTATCCAAGCATCTGGTGGCTACAGCATGCACTCTGAGGCTGGGTTGGGAAGAAAACTCCCGGTAGTCCATAGACTTTTGATTTTAGTTCAGATGATGAAAGGGCAAGTTCAAAAGTTCAGGCGTGTTGGCAGGACAAGGTTCCAGGTAGGTCATATTATATAATGTCCTAAATGGAGCAATAGGTTGTCCTATCAAGATTCAAGCCGTCGTTCACATCTTACATTGCATTTCTTCGTCCGGATCTTCAACTTTGACCTTTTCACCAGCTTTGACAATGATCAGATGGAGTGGATTTCCCAAGTTTGTCCTGTCTTTCTTGCATTTTCCCTCTCTGGGTGAACATTCTCAAGTGGATCGTGAATGGATTGTCCACTAGCTTCTCAGATTCTGGGTGATGAGGTCGGGCGAGCAGCCTCCCCTCCTATCCAAGCATCTGGTGGCTACAGCATGCACTCTGAGGCTGGGTTGGGAAGAAAACTCCCGGTAGTCCATAGACTTTTGATTTTAGTTCAGATGATGAAAGGGCAAGTTCAAGAGTTCAGGCGTGTTGGCAGGACAAGGTTCCAGGTAGGTCATATTATATAATGTCCTAAATGGAGCAATAGGTTTTCCTAGCAAGATTCAAGCCGTCCTTCACATCTTGCATTGCATTTCTTCGTCCGGATCTTCAACTTTGACCTTTTCACCAGCTTTGACAATGGTCAGATGGAGTGGATTTCCCAAGTTTGTCCTGTCTTTCTTGCATTTTCCCTCTCTGGGTGAACATTCTCAAGTGGATCGTGAATGGATTGTCCACTAGCTTCTCAGATTCTGGGTGATGAGGTCGGGCGAGCAGCCTCCCCTCCTATCCAAGCATCTGGTGGCTACAGCATGCACTCTGAGGCTGGGTTGGGAAGAAAACTCCCGGTAGTCCATAGACTTTTGATTTTAGTTCAGATGATGAAAGGGCAAGTTCAAAAGTTCAGGCGTGTTGGCAGGACAAGGTTCCAGGTAGGTAATATTATATAATGTCCTAAATGGAGCAATAGGTTGTCCTATCAAGATTCAAGCCGTCGTTCACATCTTGCATTGCATTTCTTCGTCCGGATCTTCAACTTTGACCTTTTCACCAGCTTTGACAATGGTCAGATGGAGTGGATTTCCCAAGTTTGTCCTGTCTTTCTTGCATTTTCCCTCTCTGGGTGAACATTCTCAAGTGGATCGTGAATGGATTGTCCACTAGCTTCTCAGATTCTGGGTGATGAGGTCGGGCGAGCAGCCTCCCCTCCTATCCAAGCATCTGGTGGCTACAGCATGCACTCTGAGGCTGGGTTGGGAAGAAAACTCCCGGTAGTCCATAGACTTTTGATTTTAGGTTCAGATGATGAAAGGGCAAGTTCAAAAGTTCAGGCGTGTTGGCAGGACAAGGTTCCAGGTAGGTATATTATATAATGTCCTAAATGGAGCAATAGGTTGTCCTATCAAGATTCAAGCCGTCGTTCACATCTTGCATTGCATTTCTTCGTCCGGATCTTCAACTTTGACCTTTTCACCAGCTTTGACAATGGTCAGATGGAGTGGATTTCCCAAGTTTGTCCTGTCTTTCTTGCATTTTCCCTCTCTGGGTGAACATTCTCAAGTGGATCGTGAATGGATTGTCCACTAGCTTCTCAGATTCTGGGTGATGAGGTTGGGTGAGCAGCCTCCCCTCCTATCCAAGCCTCTGGTGGCTACAGCATGCACTCTGAGGCTGGGTTGGGAAGAAAACTCCCGGTAGTCCATAGACTTTTGATTTTAGTTCAGATGATGAAAGGTCAAGTTCAAAAGTTCAGGCGTGTTGGCAGGACAAGGTTCCAGGTAGGTAATATTATAATATATTGTATAATATTGTATAATGTCCTGAATGGAGCAATAGGTTGTCCTATCAAGATTCAAGCCGTCGTTCACATCTTGCATTGCATTTCTTCGTCCTCATCTTCAACTTTGACCTTTTTACCAGCTTTGACAATGCTCAGATGGACTGGATTTCCCAAGTTTGTCCTGTCTTTCTTGCATTTTCCCTATCTGGGTGAACATTCTCGAGAATGAATGGATTGTCCACTAGCTTATACTAGCTTCTCAGATTCTGGGTGATGAGGTTGGGTGAGCAGCCCCCCCTCCTATCCAAGCCTCTGGTGGCTACAGCATGCACTCTGAGGCTGGGTTGGGAAGAAAACTCCCGGTAGTCCATAGACTTTTGATTTTAGTTCAGATGATGAAAGGTCAAGTTCAAAAGTTCAGGCGTGTTGGCAGGACAAGGTTCCAGGTAGGTAATATTATATAATGTCCTAAATGGAGCAATAGGTTGTCCTATCAAGATTCAAGCCGTCGTTCACATCTTACATTGCATTTCTTCGTCCGGATCTTCAACTTTGACCTTTTCACCAGCTTTGACAATGATCAGATGGAGTGGATTTCCCAAGTTTGTCCTGTCTTTCTTGCATTTTCCCTCTCTGGGTGAACATTCTCAAGTGGATCGTGAATGGATTGTCCACTAGCTTCTCAGATTCTGGGTGATGAGGTCGGGCGAGCAGCCTCCCCTCCTATCCAAGCATCTGGTGGCTACAGCATGCACTCTGAGGCTGGGTTGGGAAGAAAACTCCCGGTAGTCCATAGACTTTTGATTTTAGTTCAGATGATGAAAGGGCAAGTTCAAGAGTTCAGGCGTGTTGGCAGGACAAGGTTCCAGGTAGGTCATATTATATAATGTCCTAAATGGAGCAATAGGTTTTCCTAGCAAGATTCAAGCCGTCCTTCACATCTTGCATTGCATTTCTTCGTCCGGATCTTCAACTTTGACCTTTTCACCAGCTTTGACAATGGTCAGATGGAGTGGATTTCCCAAGTTTGTCCTGTCTTTCTTGCATTTCCCTCTCTGGGTGAACATTCTCAAGTGGATCGTGAATGGATTGTCCACTAGCTTCTCAGATTCTGGGTGATGAGGTCGGGCGAGCAGCCTCCCCTCCTATCCAAGCATCTGGTGGCTACAGCATGCACTCTGAGGCTGGGTTGGGAAGAAAACTCCCGGTAGTCCATAGACTTTTGATGTTGGTTCAGATGATGAAAGGGCAAGTTCAAAAGTTCAGGTGTGTTGGCAGGACAAGGTTCCAGGTAGGTAATATTATATAATGTCCTAAATGGAGCAATAGGTTGTCCTATCAAGATTCAAGCCGTCGTTCACATCTTGCATTGCATTTCTTCGTCCGGATCTTCAACTTTGACCTTTTCACCAGCTTTGACAATGGTCAGATGGAGTGGATTTCCCAAGTTTGTCCTGTCTTTCTTGCATTTTCCCTCTCTGGGTGAACATTCTCAAGTGGATCGTGAATGGATTGTCCACTAGCTTCTCA